GAGAGAACCCACGCTGCACGGGGAGAACATGCAAACTCCACTCAGAAAGATCCCGGTGCCCCCACCAGGACGCGAACCGGCAACCTTCTTGCTGCGAGGCAACAGTGCTACCAACTGCGCCACCTTGCAGCCCAGAATAAAGAACGTGCAAAACATTTGTTGGGAGTCATTGCAGACTTTTATACTACGTTAAATACATGTTCTGATAAGTTGAAGTATTTTTGGTTTGCATGACAAATGTCCCTCTTTTTATATGAAAATTAAATCTTCAAAAATAAAAAACAACAGCTGTCACCTAAACCACATGGCCTGGAGTCCAAAAGACCCCCAGAAGTCCTGAACAGGCTTAAATCACATATTTGCCATCATCCTCACAGTATTCCATGTTTCTTAACCCCTCTTGTTGCCAGATTTGTAGAGTTTAACACCTAAAAGTGACCTTTGACGCTGCAAGAAATGATTCAACCTTCTTTTTTTCTTCAAGCTCTGACGACTGATTGCGTCTTGTGAGAACCACACCAGCTCCGACGACATGAGAATCTGCTTCTTCTTCTTTTCTCACAGTCTCTCAGTTTCCCCAAAAATGTCCCAAAATGCTTCCTGTCGAACCATCAGTTTGGCTCCGATGACACCCCTTCACTTCGAACAGTGCGAACACGTGGCGAACAAAGCAAAACTCTTCTCCCGCTCTGAGAGGAAACCCTGAAGTCTGCGAGGACAGGAAGAGGCTGCAGATGTGAGGCCTGCCATGTGTGGAGTCAAAGATGGGGCAGAAACAACTGGATTCTTTGGCAGCTGAAATGCTTCTGAAGGCCTCTTTTCAAAAAAATTTTTGTGCATCTCTGTTGCTTTTAGTTTGTTTGTTTGTGCAAAGATGGCGTCGATCCTCGAGCGTGCTAAACAGTAACTTTGCTGACAGAAGCAGATCCCAGAACACAATAAAGCTGTTGAACCGCTCCTTAAAGCTAACCGCTAACATATTGCCGCCGCCATCGTTTGTTTCTCGACGTACACTTCCTCGAGAC